CTCGTCGACGTCTGAGGGCGGGTGTCGGGGCCGGGTGCAAGCACGGTGAGCACAAAAGCACAAACGCCAACCCCGCTCCCTCGAGCCAGCAACACCAACGACAACCCCGGGGGTCCAGTCGTCTTGCACCACCACCAATAGCGACCAGACCACAAGAAACCACCAAAACCCACAACCATCCCACCACCACACTAATTCCAGGGACGATAGTTTCATCAGAAAAGGACACCATTGAAGGGCGATTCCACTACTAGGCTCGCATATTTTAAAAATTTGAATACAATTTGACGGAAGGCACGCTCTCGCCGCACGGACTCACCCTTGCAGCCGCTCCGGTGCGTCGTGTCCTTCTTGTAGCCGGCGGGGCAGCTGCCGCGGCCCTGGACGCGCTCCAGGCACGCGAAGCCGCCCTGGCTGTTGAGGCAGAACTGCGTCTCCTCGGCGCAGTTGTTGGAGCCGTCCTCGCACTCGTCCTGGTCGACGCAGCGCTGCGCGGCCTCCTCCCAGACGTAGCCGGGCGGGCAGGCGCCCTGCGCCGAGCCATCGCAGCGGTACGAGCCCACCGTGTTGACGCAGTCCTCGGGGCGGCCGCAGTCGGCCAGCCCGGAGGCGCACTCGTCCACGTCGTCGCACACGGCGAGCTGCGCGTTGAACTGGTAGCCGGCGGGGCAGCCGGGGCCGGGCTGCGGACCGGGACCGACCGGGGCCAGCGCGTTGTCCAAGGCCTCTGTTGCGACAGTCGTCAGAGATTGTGTCAGGGTGCGCCAAGGACGTCAGTAACACCCCCTAGTGTGCCCCAGCCCCAGCGTTACAGGACGACGCGGACGCGACGCGGGCGATAGCGCCTGCAATGCGCTGGGTGGGCCATCCCGCCACGCACCTGTGTGGACGACGGCGGCCTACCTGCGGGGCGGTGCCTTCGGGCAAGCAGCCCTCAACATCTCCTCGCGTCACTCCGTGGGAGCGCCGGGGACACCCCTACGTACCAAACACTCGCGGCACGATGATGACGCCGTCCTTGCCGAGGCAGGTGTAGCCCCCGGGGTCGTTCCTGCACGTCTGCGTCTTGAGCAGGCAGTGGTGCGTGCCCGCCTGGCACTCGTCGATGTCTGTCGGCAGAGTTCGATGATTATTTAGGCGAGCCCGGGCCGGCCGAGTTGTTGCAGTCATGCGCCGCTGCCGTGTACCCTTACCTTTGCATGTCTTGCGGTCCGACTGCAGCGCGTAGCCCGGCCTGCAGGAGCACTCCACGGCCAGCCCCGTGTCGCGACAGATGTGCGTGCAGGGGTTCTCCTCCTTGCACCTGTCAACGGGGAGCAACGCGGTGAGCAAGACCTCGACGTTTTCCCCGATATTTCTCGTATCCTCAGTTGTATCCTCGCTTGAACGCTTTCGCCGCAACAACAACATTGGAGGCCACACACTAAAAGCTTATGAACATTTTTATTCATAGCTCACTGAGTTCTGTGTACGGGCTCTGCTTACGCATTTTAGACAGGCCCCTAAAGACTGTCTACTAGAAGGAAAAGTCCCCCCCCTTTCCCCTCCCATCCTTGCTATCTATTTAATACACTGATATGAACAAATTTGTTCATACTGGCGTATTAAAAAATGCGTAAAGCAGAGCACGTACACAGAACTCAAATAGTTATGAATAAAAATGTTCATTAGGTTTATAAGTGTGCAGTATGTATCCGACCTGTCGGGCCCGCCGGAGAGGAGCTTGCAGGACTTGCCGTCCGCCATGAGCCCGAAGCCGGGGTGGCACTCGCAGCGGTAGGAGCCGGGGGTGGGCACGCACACGTGGGCGCACAGGTCGCGGCCCATGGTGCTGCACAGAGTCTCGTTGGCTGCCGGCGCTGCTGCGTCGAGAAAAGAAAAGGGCCAAAATACATTTCCATGTGATGAATGCAAAATCAGAGTTGGTTTTTTTTTCGTCGCGTCCGCCATCGTCGCGGCGCATGAGTTATAGCGACACCAAAACCTTGAGCGGGCAGCGCGCGCTCATTCAAATATCAGTATCGTCGGCTCGAATCTCTGGCCGGCGGGGCGCCCTTCCTTTCGCTGCCTTCATTATCCGAGACGTCTGTGGCGCGCAGGGCGCGGGTATAAATAGAAATGGACGGTACCGCCTCGCTCAACATTCAACGGGTTGAACCGAAGGCAGACCCTCCTACACCCTTAGAAACAACTCGAAATAACGCTTTCCGGCAAGGGAGAAGGTACTGACGCAGCAGCTCGTTGGAGGAGGTGGGCGGCGTGGCGGCGGAGGACGTGCCCGAGGCCGCGGCGCAGCACTCGTGGAAGGCAGCGTCCCAGGGCAGGCCGAAAGAGAAGCGCTTCAGCTCGCACGACTGCCAGAGCGACCCCGATATCATGCCCAGCTTGCAGGCCTCGCAGCAGTCCTTGTTTTCAAATGATTGAAACAAAAATGGCACAAAACGTTTTCGCATGCACAGCCAGGAAAGACATGATATTAAACGAGGGCCTCTGTTTCCCTCACCCAACCACGCACCTTGTAGGCTTCGCCGTGCTCAGCGACGTCCACAGAGCACCTCTTGTCGGCCAACGCGGCGTTGGAACCGCGGCGGCACTGCGTGTTACTGTTAAAATTAATGTCACTTTAGAAAATTTAAAGTATTTCGGCGAAATGGAATGTTAAAAAACAAAACATATTTTGATCTTTTAAACAGCAAAATTCTAAGAACGGAAACAATGCCATGTGCGTGTGTGATCTCGGTGAATTATTTGGAATCACACCGGAAACCCAAGTGTAAGAATGTCGCCCACTTTGTAATGTGCGAGTGTAAACGACATTCGTACTCACGGAGACACATGTGCGGTGACCCCAAAGGAAAAGTCACACATTTACACGGTAAAACCGATGTCTCATGTTTTGAAAGGGGGAAAAATTTGAGAAACTCCTACATCTGAGGAAATCTCGATCTCGCCACAGATTTTCAGGAATCTTCTAAAATATTAGCTAGAATCCCACATTTTTTGAGATGTCCTCGAAATCGGAGAAGTTTTTACTCAAACCAAGGGAGTTCCTCAAAGTTTTTCCCTGTTTTGTCAGAAACTGAGACATCATTTTTACCGTGTACTCCCTTAACACGTTCCCTGTGGCATAAACACTATGTGGTCACGCCCCATGTTAAATCATAGGGACCAAAAATGAACCGTAGGGAACGTGTTAAGTGTAACGAATCGGCGTTCAACACACTTGAAATAATTCACACCGGCCCTGCTCGGCTCTCACCGGTTGTCCCGCCGGCAGCAGATGTCGGCCGAGGCGATGCACGTGGCGAGCTGCTCGCCGGGGACGCTGGACACGGGCGGAGGGAAGTCCGCGCAGGAGGCGTAGGAGCGCTGGCGCGCCCAGTCACTGCCCAGCGCGCAACAACGCGCCAGCACGCCCTCGAGCCCGTCCGCGCGCACCACTGCAGCACCCACACGACGGGAGGGTCATAGAGTTAGAAAGGCCCATGGGTGGCGGGGAGGTCCCCCGTAAATATAAAGGTCGTCTTGAATAAAAAGGGTGGGGTGCTTTTCATCTCAGCCCCTGACAGAGCGGTTGGTTGACAATAAGTAACTTCGTAGACATCACAGACACGTTGACAAGAAGCAAGAAAGTTGTCCCACCATCAGAAACGATACACGGTGGGGTTCATTGGCCTCCCTCCTTCCCACCCGCCAAAGGTTTAGCAAATCAAGTGAGGGCCGATAAATGAAAAGTGCCTCGCTCCCGAAATTTACGTATTTTGTGCACAAGTGGGGGGACATAGTTAACGACCATCACGACAAAAAAGCTCACTGCTCGGTTAATTATTAAATGAACATCGGGTGGCAATCGCTAGGCATGGTACTACTTACGGCCAAACGCCGCGACGAAACCGACGACGGCGATGGGGAGATGCATGTCTGTGTATGTGAACGTGCGGGAGCACTCTGTCTACTGATCGGGGAGATTTCCGAACGCCAGACTGGGGATGGAGGCCCCCACCCCGACGTCGCCCCGCTCCGCTCCGCTCCGCCTTCTCCTCGCCCGCCGCCCCGCCCGCGCCGCCCTGGCCACACACGGCCGCGGCTGCGGTCGAGAAGCACACTCCCTTTCCGACCGCACTCGCCAGGACGGCGATATAGGGGGAGCGAGTTCGCGGCCAGTCGTTTCCGGATGCGACCCCGGCCCAGTGCAGGGTTTGTTTACATGATGGCAGCGCCCGGAGAGCGTCCGAAATGGCCGTGGCATCATCCCCCCC